AATGGTTGTTAATGTTTTTGTTGTTCTTTCTATTTGTCACATGTTTAATTTGAATTGTATGTAAATAAAGGTTAGGTGTATTTACTCTGCTTTTGTTTTATATAATTAAACCATACATCCCCTCTACAAAGTTAGTAGCCAGCGCCTTCCGGTAAATTAAAAAAATGGATACACACAGCGTAGGTATTCCTTATGACGATCACATATTTTTGGCCACAACTACGTTTACTTATTTTTTGTCGAACCTAGGGTTGTTATACTACAACTGTTTAGTAGTTTATGACAATGGTATTTAAATTATAATTGAAAAAAAAATACTTTTGTTCAGGGCCGATATAATCAAGGGCGCTCTACTCTTGGATCTCCCAATTAGCTTACACATTATTAGATCTAATTTCAAATAACATGGTTTTTGCCCAAAAATTAGACAAATTTAATAAATTACAAAAAAGTTATTACAAAATACCGATATTCATCTCATAACTTCATTGGTAAAAACTATAAAAAAAATGTAGATTTGAGACATTATTTTTACATTATCTCTCCTAATTTGAAAGTTCATCATTTGCTGAACACGTTGTATACCGTCTAATTAATTTCAACACTGTATATCCTAATTAATCATTTATGAGTTATTTATTTTTGCACTCATGATTTAGTTAAAAAAAACCAAGTCTGAGTAAAAAATGACTCAATAATAGTTAAATTTTAATCATATTAGAAAAAGTCAACCTCTAAATTGGTTTTACATACTCAGAATAGAGTTAAAAGTCACTCAGTTGATAGTTAGCAGTAACTCGGATTTGAGTAAAACTCATTTCGGATGCAATAGTTTCACTCAGTTGTACTCATACTAATAGAGTGAAAATTTCACTCAATCGGGTGTGGACAGAAATTGATACATTATTGAATAAAATAGAGTGAAATTTTTTTACAGTGTAGTAACCTGAATATATGCGTCGGCCCATATATGTATGTGTATTGTGGGAATTAAAAAGCCGATTTTATGTGAATATGGCCTTATTAATAAAAATAATATTGGTGTCCTTAACATACTTGCGTAGAAACCAACTGCAAAAAAAATCAAGGGTACTTGGTGATTAGGGGGATTTAGAGACTGCACTCTTTGTACACGGTACTAGGTACTGTTCGCGGATGATTCTCTAAACAAAAAGAATACTAACATCTATATCTGCTGATATCCTCCGGAAACTAGCCTCCGGATTCTGCTCTATCTATGCTAACAATGCTTTTTATGCCTCAGGGGTAGTTTTTTCCAGAATCATGGGATCTGTTGAACCGCCATCAAGCAATTTTGAGCAGTCTTCAAAAAACACGAATTGAAGAGATTTGGCTGTTGGGATGAGCGTCAATATAAAGTCGTAACGCTTCTCTGGAATTCCCATTAGCACGACCATACATGAAATGCATGTCGGTTAATTCAGTGATACAGAAAACGGGCATAGTATGACAAAATATCTGTTGACAATAAGAAAAAAAAGTTAAAAAGAAAAATTAATGTTCCTCGTTTTAAAAATTCCGTACAATAGTTATTCAAATGGATTATTTTTCATATATAATAAGGTAAAATAAGGTAAAAGACATTTAAAATGTGTTTTTGTTACAGATTGCGGGTGGCGGTGGCAGGGGCATGTTCTGCTACCACTGCCCGCCCGCACTACATCCAGGAGCTCCACAACCGCGGCTGCCCACTTTGGAATATCCTTTTACCCCAACACATCCATGTAAGTATCAATTTTTTAAATTCTTATTTCCAATTTGACAGGCACTGGTTCCCATATAAAATCTGAAATTCTGGGTGTGTTATTTTACGAGCTAAATTTAGCGGAGCAGATTCTGGCTAAGTTAATTTTATTTATTATCTACCCTAGTTTAATCAATAATATGTACTCAGATTTAGATACTTAATAGATACATTTGGTGAGAGGACTTTTCTGTTCAAGAAAGGTTATTAGAAAAATTTGTCTAAACTGCTTTCTATTATGAAGTTATTTAATGGCGTGAAAGGACCCGGTACTAATTTGAAAAATTAGATATTTCTATTTTTGCAGCTAGAGCCTCCAATATAAAAAAATGTTAGGTCGTACTTGGAGACACATATTGTAGAAATATATGTTTTTATGGCTATCTGAAACATATCCATTTCTGTTACCTTGGTTTATTATATTTTAAATATGTTTATATGATTCACCCGAATTTGATAAAAATGAATATTTCCGTATGCTACTATATATAAATCACAACGAATACCATTTGCGAAATGTGATTCGTTCAAATTATCATATCATTCCGCATATAGATGATATCCTATTCTTGAAAGCTTTTCGAATAAAACGAGCTAATTTTAGATTAGGTTATTATTAATGATTTATATTGTCTGAAGCATTTTTAGTTATTTCACGTTTCTTTGATAAATCACTTACATAAAAAGCTTTTTAAAATATAGGATTCTTAAATTGATTTTCTATAAATGTCTCTACATTATCATATTTTCGTAGTTTCTCATATTGTTCTTTACAGTTTATACAATATTGGAAGTAATTTTTTATGTTCTTCAAATGAAACAATTTCAACATTTTTCAATTTGAAATTACATCATATACGTAATGTGGTAAATATTCTTTGTGTACAAAATCTACGGTAAATAAGATTTTACCTAATATTTGTTACATTAAAGTTGAATTTCCAACAAACAACAAGAAACCGATTATTTATATAATATTTATTTGCCGCTTATTTTGTACAAACAAAAAATGTATGAAATTCCAAATTTTTTCCAACTCTTAAATTATTAACTTCTTGGAAATTGTTAGTAGGTACTTGCCCAATAACATATTTTCCTATTAACAGTATTTATATTAATAGTCATTTGTTCCTTTTTGAGTACCATAGAGAAACGTCATAGTCATCAGTTGGGCAAATTCAATGTTATATTGAAGGCATATTTCCATTGTTATTTAAATGCACTTGTCATTCTTACAATATTAAAATAAAAGATACATAGTTGTTGTTAATGCTTAATTATTCATTAATGATAAAATAATGAATGCATATATTTTGGAATATGTAGTCACAAATCTCCGTCAATATTTTTAAATTATTATTCTCGTTAAGAACCTGTGCAGACATGTTTTCAATAGTTTTATGTTTTTGAGAAGACTGTCATAAATATTATGAGCAACGGTCGAACTGATATCCTTTTCCAGTTGAAAGCGTATTTTTTTGCTAACATAATGCATTAATAAATATAGAACTTCCAGTTTGCATCTGCCGAACTGATATAATTGATAGAACATCTAACATTAAACAAATAGGTTCCTATACAGTGCTTCGTATAAAATGTTTGATAAAAGTGTTGGGTTCACAACTAACATTTGTATAGTGGTATCGAGATGAGTTTAGCATACCTTTTTTAAAGTGAAAGCACTTAAAATCGTATATCAAACTGGTACTCTGCTTTTGCAAGACAGGATCAGATACATCAGGAAGCAACTAGAGGAAAATAAGAAACTTCTGAAAATCAATTTCCAATTTAGCAACAAATTATATATACACCCCATAGATCTAGTGGATAGACTGATCACCGAAGGAAAACACAAGAGAAAGTTAAAAATATGCAGCGGATGAAAGTTGAGAAGATACTAAATAGACTAAACAAGTCTCTGGTCATGATTACCCTATTCTCTGTGGAACTAAATGACGACACTATGAACGATGTTAAAACAGAAAATCGAAAATCATTAGCGTCTTGAAAACTACGTGTCAACATCTCCTGTGTGGAGTGGCGGAAGAAGGGCTGAGACAGAACATGCATTATGAACTGCTGGATCTTTGTAACTGAATCTAATCAGAAAAAAAGATGCTAGTTATCAGTGAAAATGAAGAAATCGTCATACTTCATCGTTTTTCTATCGATAAAGATGAACGGAATCCAATTATATTGAGAGTTTTATTGAGTTTTAAGACTACGTCGGTGCACATAAAATTATCAGTTAAAGAAGCTTTGGAAGAAGTTCATCGAAAATTAACGAGGAAATATATAAAAGTAGATTTTTGAAAAACGTGTGCACCTATGTGATCGGTTTTCTAAACAATTGAAGGATAAGCTATGACTTCTTTCTTATTCTTAGCCTTGTCATAATAATATCATTCATTGAGACCTTCGAAATAAAAGCCCTGAAGTCAGCAATTCTAAAAAAGTGTTGTAGTTCAGACGACACGTTTATCATTCATGGATACAACAAGAGCATTTCTGAATCACATTGATGAAATAAAATCAAACATCAGTTTCACCAATGCCAGTTGGACAAAACGGTACTTCTCCATTCTTACATGTCGTTCTCAAGAGGATAGCGCCATGTGCAAACCATTATATCTAGACGGCTTACAAATTTAGAGAGAATTTTTGAAGGGTAAGTAGAATACATTATTAACAAGCGATTTCAATAATCAAAATCTATTAAACTGCGAAAAAGTGCTTGAAGTTAATAATAAATCACAACTGTATATTTATTGAAAACCTTTAGAGTTCTCTCGATCCTATATAAAAAAAGGCGAATAATTGTTGCCATACCATATACTTTTTCATTCTGTTTTTGCTAGTTCCATTTTAGATAATCAGTTCTATTCAGTTTCCATTACGATAAACGTGTATCTTTATTTTTTAAGTTTCAAGCAATATTATTATTGAATGAGTGTTTAAACTAAGTTATTTTGTTTTTTGGATTTCCATCTGTAATTAAATTATTTTTTAGTTTTATCTTTTTGTGAAATATTAATCTACCTGCGGTTTGAGTGTACTAATAATCGTGAATAATCGTATTAAAATGGCCCACCATTCAGTAAAAATGAGTTAACGGACATGCTGGTAACGTATGGAGCCGCTGGCGAAAACTACGAATTAGCTGCACGGTTCTATGAACAGTTGTTTCTAAATCAGCATGGATCGCCACCAGCTAGGTTTTTAGCTGTAGTACAATATGTACGCGATACAGGATGTTTAAAACCTTCTGGCCTTGCAAGATATGTTCTAGCATCTGAAGTGCAAATGTTAATAGTTGAATATAATAATTCTACCTTGATCAGTAAGTGTGCTAAAGTTAGTACTAAATCAACACCAAAAACAACAGTTGTTTACAAGCGAAGTACTTTTAACAGACGAAGCTTGGTTAACTATCACAGAAAATCTGCATATTACTCGACAAACCGCAATTCGGAACGGATTTTCTGTTAACTGGACAAAAATTTTCCTTAACAGATTAGCTCAATAGTTACATATTTCCATAAGTTTAAACGATGGTACATACATACATATTTGGAGTTTCATCGGCAATTTACGACTTGCGTTAGATGCGAAATAAAGAGTGGACTTTCTGCACTATGGCGCTCCTCGTCATTTTCGTCAAGATATACGACGATTATGACACTAGGCTCTTGGCTAGGAAGTAGTGCCTTTTTGCCTTTTTTTGTGATACATAAGGTCTGCCGTCTATAAAACTGAAATCATAGAGGAATCAACACTTTACGTTTTTCTGCATCCAACAAAATTGGATATTTTACGCTCGGCTGAGTGGGCAAGGGGAAGGGATTATTTGCAGCAATTGTTGTAAACAGAGCAAGAGTTATCGAAAGACTCAAAGTTCTACAATTTACTAGTATTATTGTGGTAGGTAAATCTTGAAAAATATATACTGCTTGCAAAAAATATTTCTACTTATCAAATATCCTCTGCATTTGTAGACACACATGATACTGTTTTTTTTTTTAGTTATATCCATCCAGCTCTACATAAAAACTACTTCCCGTCTGTTTACCTGAAAGTTGCACCTTACAAGGTATACTTTGATTGAGATTCATATTTTTATAGGAAGGCTGCATTTGGCCCTTGGAAATAATTGTCATATTTTTTTTTCAAATCCAGTCATTAAAACAAATTGTTTCGTAATTTTCATACCTCAAACAACCGTTAGCTGCGGTGTACACGTACTTGTGGATTGTGACATTCATTGTTATTAAATCTCATAATTTACTTTTGTTCAATGGGTGCTTATCAGTAGCTTTATTCCACATTCATAAAAAAGTTATATTCTTTTAAATAAAATAAACTATAAACCGGTAAAAGTCATTTAACAGAAAACAGTAATATAAATGATGATAATAAATGAAATAAATAAAAATAAGTTTGTTTACATACTTGACTTTTAAAGCGTATGCTCAAATTCCTCCATTTCTGTCGAAACACGGCTCAACATGTCGCATCAGGGCACTGTCTTATCTTATCCATGTTCTGTCGTATTTGGTCCGCTGCTTTCTGCACTCTTTGACGTAGTTCTTCAACATTATTGGCAGGAGATGAGTAAACAAAAGATTTCATGGTTCCCCACAAACAAAAATTGATGGATTTAAACTTGGGGATCTTGATGGTTAAGGTACATGCTCGAAATGTTTATTCCACTTATACTAAACCGTTCTTCTTATATTCAGAGGTATATCTTCAAGTAAACATTTTAACATATTTTTCAAAAAATCAAAGTATTTCGTGATTGGCCATTATGTAAGGTCCCATCAGTGTGCAATAGTCAAAGCTTATTGAGAATAAGATTCAAAAACTAAATACAGTGCTTTAAAATAATAGTAATACCTGTTTCTATCAAAAACAAAATGAACAACATTTTGGCCAAATCCCATTGAATTGTTTTCCCAAGCTTGATAGCAACTTTTTTTA